CTTCCGGATGGTGTCAATAACAAAAAAAGGATGATAATACATCATGAGGAGTCCACGGAAAAACCGGGAATAGTCACTAACCGAAAATCGTGAGGGTATCAATTTTGAACGCTTGTTGACCCATAAATGTTTTTCTGTTCAACTTTTCATTGATTATTGTTGTTTGATTTTCCATTCAACAAACATAACAATGAACCACCAGTCAAACAAGCATGAAGTTATTACTCCACAAGCTGTTTTTTTGTTGTTTTTTTGTAAGTGTTTTACAGCCCTCGCTACTGCATAAGGTCATATGAGCGCCCGGGACACACCTATTACTTTTAGTTGGTAGGAAATTTTGAATTTTGCCCGGGTGGCGGCCGAAGCCTACACTTATCGATTTTAGACCACAAAGGGATCTTTAAAGTGTGCGCAACTTGCACACTTGCCTTCCGAGATTTTTCGCCCTTGTCCGAGAAGGCTAGGTGTAGAGCTTTCCTACTCGAAGATCAGGGGTGTGGCAAAAAGACAGCTGTAAGAGTCAAAGAGTAGCAGTAGAAAGGCTGCAGAAAGAGTCAGGAGCCCAGAGGAGGGGGCAAAGGGGGTGAGGGGTTGGGGGCAGAAAGATGAGACGAAAGCAGACGAAAGAATATTGCTAAAGAGCAGGAAAGGAGGTGAAAGGAGACAATTTTAGAGAAGAAAATGTTTCGGTCGCTGCCCGGATTCGAACCCGAGACCTTTGAATGAGAGGCCAACACCTTAACCTCTAGGCCACGAGAGCCCCCCTCCACAAGCTTTGAAAAGTGACACCCTCAGAATTTCCAGTTTGTGACTATGCCCGTCTTTCCTGTAGACTCCTCGTATATCACAATCATCTTTTATTATTTTTTGTTTTGCTTTGGTAAGTGCTTTACGGAGGAGCACCCGGGACATGTTAAACATTTTCAGTTGGTAGGAATCAATTTTGAATTTCGCTCGTGTGGCGGCCGAAGCCTATTCTTACCGATTTTAGGACCGTCAAGGGATCTTTAGCGTGCGTAATTTGTACACAGCACGTACCTCCCGAGATTTTTTTTTACCCTTATCCTGTTCAATCTAACCTACTCTAAGATAAGGTGTGCGGCTGAAAAACAGCAGTAAGAAGAAGGAGCCAAAGAGTAGCTGTAGAAAGAGTCAGGGGCCCAGAGGAAAGGGGTTATTGATTCATAATATATTATGTATTGATATGTTTCTATATAGCACAATATAGATATTGTTTTCATGTGCAGTTGATTCTGTTCAAACGGCCATTTCCCAGTTCCGCCATGTGTGTGTGTGTGCGTGTGTGTGTGTGTGTG